GGACTATAAGGAAATTAAGGCTATGGTGGTGCAGGAAGAGGTGAGAATAAAAGAGATGAGACAAGAGTCGATTCACTTTATATCTCATGTGAGAGCCAATAATAGTAAGATAAAATGGGAAACAAAGGCAAATAAAAGAAGATTGACTTACTTAAAGTTTTTGCAGGTCCAATGATTAAAGAAATGAGGTGTTACTCCTGTAAAAAGTTAAGGCCACCTCATAAAAGATTGCCCAAAATAAAATATTGATTCGAAAAGAAAGATATGCATTAAGTTTTGTATGTTGTGAATCATATTTATTAAAGATTCCCAATGATACTTGGTGGCTTGGTTATGTGCAACTACTTATGTATCTCATATTTAATTTTGGGTTAAACGTAGTGCACATAATGAATACTACTCTCTTATGGCATTAAAGATTATATCACATATCCGAAGAAAGGTTTGAGAATGGTGAATAATGAAACCATTTCTCATTTGGATTTTAGTGATCAAAATGTATGTGTAGGATGAATTAAAGAAACGCAAACTAGACATACATTAAAGAGATTTGCCAAGAGAAGCACTAAAACTTATTTTTACTATTTTTCTTGTGGTCTATTAGACGTCCCTTTATGGGATTTTGTAAAGTATTTAATCACCATTACAAATGATTTCTCACGTTATGGTTATATTTATCTACTACATGAAACGACTCAATCATTGGACTATCCAAAGATATACATTGATGAGATGAAAAGGTAGTTAGATAAATAAATAAAAGTTGTGAGATCTCACTAGATTGGTGAATATTATTGTAAGTTCAATGAAAGAGGATAATATCCTAGTCCATTTGTAAAGATTCTTGAGATTTGAAATATTTGTGTGCAATACACTATAATTGAGACTTCTCAACATAATGGTGTTGCTGAGAGGATAAACCGTACTTGATAGTGTATGGTTAGGAGTATGTTGAGTAATTCAACATTAACATTTTCTATGTGGATGAATGTGTTAAAGATTGCTGCATATTAGGTAAATTGGGTTTCTATTAAAGTAGTTCCAAAGTACCTTATGAACTATGGAAGGGTAGAAAACCCAGTTTGAGACATCTTTATGTTTGGAGGTGTCAAGCAGAAGTATAAGTATAAAATCCACATGAAAAAAACTTAATCCTAGGACAACCAGTGGTTATTCATTGGCTATCCGGAAAGTTCTAAAGGATATAAGTTTTATGACCCTAACCATAGTACGAGAATAGTTGATTGTGAA